ACCAAAAAAAAAAAAATACGTTATTACCATGATATGCTGTTTGTAACATTTCTGAGAAAACTTCAACTTTCCAACCGATTTTCCCCAAAAATAGGTGATGTTGGGTAGCTTAAAAACAATTATTGATGGCTCTACCTCTACCCTCAGAAAAGTTAGATAAGCCAAAACCGGTGCCAGATTTGGTTATTTTTACAATCCACCACCCAATAATAAATTAATTATAATGTATCCAACACCAATCAATGAAATTACCAATAACTAAAAGTAAAAATTCTGACACTTCATTTACAATCAATCCAATTGCAAATAAATAAATAGTAAAATGTTCATTTACTAATCCAACAACCACGTCAAATAAATAGTATATGCATTTTACAAACAATAGTTGAAGTCTTAAGTTTGTTTTTCATGTATGTTACAATCAATTTCTCATGTGTAACTAAAACAATCAAATTATCTGTCTTTAATCAGCTTCTTCGTGTGTCTTTGCACCTTTGTCTACATAAGCAGATAAAAAGTTAATTAGAGCACAATGCATCTTGTTTTCAAGTGATCGAAACATCCACGCATGCTTTCCTGTTATTTTCTCTTTTGTTCAGGTTTCTCGCGAAAACACTTATCCTCCATTTTTAACTTATCTAGGTCAATTAAATAAATACGACTCTTCTCCACTACATCAAGCTCCTTTTCTTCTTCTTTTTTCCAGTAAATCAAACTCTCTTGTAAGGTTTTTAAGTTGATTTTGTAGCCATTTTTCGTCTGAAAGCCTTGACGTAACCGGTAAAATTACTGTCATGTGACCAGGAGGTTACGAGTTCGAGCCATGAAAATAATCTCCGCAAAAATACAGGGTCAGACCCTTGTAGTCCAGCCCTTCCCTGGAACCCGTGCATAGCGGATGCTTAGTGCACCGGGCTACCCTTTTTCGTCGCCATTTTTCACAGTCCATTAGAATTTCCTGTATGGGAGAGAAGTCCTTTATCCGAAACGTTAATCTCGCATGAGAAATTAGCTCTGGTGTTGACCAAGTGTGAGAAATACTGAACAAAATCGTATGCTTCAACTCGTGTACTGGTTTTAGTGTGCTTTAGATTATAACACATAATGTGTTTAAATGATGAAACTTAATAAGATACATGTGTCATTTTGGAGTTTCCTTGAGGTTAAGTTTTTATAATCAACTAAATAGGGAAGTAAAATAAACAGTGAAACTACTACCGATATCGCTAAGCTATAAGCTTCGATACTGCCAATTTCTTGATTGTAATAATTAATCAATCCGAGTTGCAGGATTTAACTTATTATGCATTTTTTGAATTCTTCTTGCGTTATGATAATTCTTCTGAATAAATTAGATAAATTGATACAAAATATCTTTCTTTCAAAAGCATCCATTGTTCCTTTCACCACCCAATATCATAGATTGTTGAGGAATTAAACCCAATGAAATATACCCGGGGCAAGTACACAGATAGTCATTCTCAAGGATGCTATATAGAGATTAGCCCGTACTTATTTGGTCCAAAAATTTTAAACTAAAAATCTTAACTTCAGAACACTTTTGTTTTCGAAAAAAACTAAAATTCACGACGCAATGGTTAATTCTTAAATAGTAGCCTCTTACACTTTAATCAGATTGAAGCCCGAGTCGCTCTCTTTGGAGTTAAAATGTACATTTCACAGCCATGAGCATCAACACGAGCACTGAATGAGCCCCCCGTGTTCTCTGAAACAACTTCATGCTGCAACATTGCCATAGCAATGGGATCAGAGCAAACCTTTTGAAGTAATGAGTACATTTCAAGGACATGAGTTCCAGAACATAGAGAAATGAAGCCAGCAAACAATGCTTAACTAATTCAGATGCATCAGTGTGAAAAATTAAGTTACTAGAGATCCTGAGGTTACAAGAAACTGGCTATATGCCGAACAAACTTACCTTCCACAAGTCTCTCACAGAGACGCTGATGGAGGATTCTAGTCCAATTGCACCCCATTTAGCAGTAATAGTTGCAGCCTTTGAACATCTGTTCCAGAGTACTATAGCCAAACGGTTTCCAGACAAGGGACCGGCCCAAACCTGTAAACAAAATAAAGAAAATTAATAATAACAGATTGGTAAAGCATTAATAAATATTACACCCCTTAAACCCATTCTATGCTCCCACCCTCGAAAAAAAAAGAAATTATATCCAAATGCATCGCAACAATAACAATAAGAATAAACCTCAATCCTAATTAATCCTTAATCCTTTATATCTTAATCCTTTATATCCCGTCCACTCCATTGACCGCATTAATGATTGAGGATTACTAGTTTTGTTGTCATAATAATACTAATAATTAATAATGACGATAGTAACAAAGAACTACACGTGACTGAATATTCTGGGCAAAATTTTCCGATATTGTGCAAGAAAACATCATCTTTGGCCAATCAGTCCAACATGTGAGGTTTGCTGCCTCGTCACTTGAATAATAAGGGGAACTACTGATGACAGAACATTATTGGCAACGATTACATGATTTTGTGCAAGAAAACATTATCTAGTCAAGTCAGTTATACATGTGAGGTATGTAAATCTCATAGTGGCTGCCTTGTCACTTGAAGCTGAAAGTTACTAAACACTTATGCATTATTTGGACAAAACACTACACTTGTATCTCATTGTATGAAAGCGTCAAGCAATTAAGCATGGTGTGGAACACTGGATCTCAGTGAAATACACAATCCGGAGCTATACCAGGCTGCAAATATCTCGATGACTTTTTTTAATTGAACAAACTGTACTTCGAATTTTTGAACCAAATGCTACCTAAAATATCCTATCAGAAAGGCCAACGTTCGATTAAACCCCACTTACCCTCTTCACTTTTTGTTCAATCATGATGGAGAAGAGCTTGATTGCTTTCCAGATTCATTTTGAAGAAATGTTTTTTCATAAGGTGATGAAGTAACAATTATTTGTATGTGGTGAATAAATTTTCCAATATAGAAGTGGGATTTAAACGAGGCAAAGATATGGTTTTCTACATATACCATCCAATCCTCTGTGGATCGCTTTCCAAATTCATCTATCCAAGAGAATGGAAGTTCTTGTTACATTGAGAAAATTCCACATCAAATGAAATTTTAAAATGTAGAGAAACTTTAAACTTTTTTTGTGACTATTTTCAGAAATCAACCTCTGAATAATCTTTAATTATTTAGGTGGTCTAGGTGAGAAAAAATTTCAATCAATTTCTCATAATCCGCCAGCTTAATCAAGTAAAACAAGAAAGAGCGTTCAACTCTATAAGGTCACTTTATCTGGTAAAGCATCAAAGAAGTCTTGTGTTTAAATTGTAAACAACCATAGATGGAGCTCTTCATTCATATGTCAGAATACGGAAATAAGTAGCTTCCCAAGAGATTATCTTATTCTGGAAAACCAAAAGATGCAAAATGTAGATAACGACAAAGAATAAATGAGAAACAAGGTGCAGCTATACCTGCTGGCAACCATCTGGTCCGGAAGCATCAACTCTCCTACCCTGAACACCAAGTGGATCTGTAAAAGAGAAGAAGTTATTTGCCTATAAATTACTGTTTTATATCAAAACCATACGCGCACCAAAAGTGAAAGGGAAAAATGGGCATCTCTGATAAAACAACCAAATAAATTCAAAGATAAAGGTACAAACTTAACATAAAAAAGGGGTAGAGAAGCGGCTAGAAGAAAGACAGTTTTTTTACCTTGGTCAACAGCGATAACCTCTTTATTGGAAAGAATTTCTAAAGTTTCAGCAGTGATGTTTCTGACATCACAACCAATAATAAGCGGAGCCTACAAATAGAAGCATGACATCAGTTCATGAAGTAAGAGGGTTGAAGCACACAAAGTCACTGTCTCTTTGCATGAATAGCCCAACATAAACTGAGTTGTTTTCTCATATATGTACCATGATAATTTCTTTTAAAAGGGGGAATAAAACAAACACATCCAATGTGATGGAGTTATGTAATGACAAATACACATTAAAACTTCTAAAAAATGGTCCATCTCCCTATTCTTATGCTGATTTCATTTACACACATACACCATTTAAACCAGCAAACGATTTCACTAAAGAATGGTTGCATCACAAATTTGTTATCAAGGAGAAATCTTTTCGAAAAGGGACTAGATACAAGTAGTCAGTCAGACAATCAAAAAGGAAAAAACAAGAGAGGACTCAGAAAACGTAATTATGAGTTTGATTGGGGATTTGCCTTCATCAAAGCCCAAATGCTAAAGTGCCCTTTGTACTCATGGTAATTCATGCCCCCATTTCCAACCTCTAACATATCAGGATCTGCCAGAAGATAATAGAGAGTTAAAAAGAACTCAAATGCTATCCATTCTACACCATCAAAATCTAAATTTTCAGGCTCACTACCTACCGTTCCATCCACCAGGTCCAGCATAGGATGCCCACTTGTCATTGATATCAGCAATAGTTGTCATGCTAAAAGAAGTAAAACAAATGAAAGATTTCTGTCAGTATAATGCTTAATAGAGTTGAATAACAATTCAGAAAAAGCAAAAAAGTTAAGAGGTATGTTAAATTAATCTTGCATTTTGTTTTATCCAGCTACGGTTCATAATCAGTGTAGAGCTATGTTCAAAATCTTCTTAGTTTTGAAGGTACCATACATACATAAATATCTTTATTTAATGTAACAATATCAGATTACAAAATAATACAAAAACAAGATGATGGAAATATATCTTGCTTCTTTATACAATAATCAAATAAGATGTACTAATATAGAACCTTGCCCATGTATCATTGATGTCATCTGTTGTACGCCAACTGTTTCCAATTTTTCCTGCCCATTTGGCAGGTTCATCAACACCCCTGCAAATTTTGAAACAAAAGCACAAAGAAAGCTCTCAAGATGCTGGTTAAGAACTCCAGTACAAATCGAAGAAAGTTCCTCGAAGTTACCATTCACAAAGTGCGTAAAATATAGTCCGTCCAGTAGCATTAAGAGCATCACGCATGGGTGGGTATCTGGAAACGTCTTAGTATTTAGATCTAATTATACACCTAAAACCAATTAACTTAGACCTCACTGACTAAGAGTTGAACCTCTTTTGTGGTGGGAGACCTAGATTGAAGCAGTTGTCATACTTCAAATAGTCAACACCCTGCGCAGTTGAAGAATCAGAAGATTTGTTAGTAGCTGAAATGTAAAGCAACTTCCACACTAAAATAAATGAAACGAAAAGCAATGCTAACATATTAACCAGGATTTACAAGTAAGAAAACTGTGTTACCATGTATACAAAATACAATTAACAGTATTAGCTAGCGCTGCAATCAGCATATGCAACTGTATAGCTTCTTTTTTCTGTTCAAGCAAAGACAATTAATTCCTCGAAATCACATCAATCTCTTTTTTCCGTTATCTAACAAACCCATTTTTGCAACTAAGAATAATTTCTATTAACATTTATTACCATTTGTATATGTAACTCTACTTCTGGAATGGTCATTATTAAGTTTATCACTAAGTTGGGAGACATTTACGGTAACAATGTGACTGATGAAACAGAAAGCACAAACTAACCCAAGATGCCCAAAGTTCAGCATCATTTTTTTCATGAAACAGTGAGCCAGGTCGAACTTGACATGTAAAAGCCCTACAAGATCCAAATAACTGAATAGTGAGAAATAGGAGAATTCAAAAACACTTTATCCCAGACACGAATATGTATTTCATCTAATTTTGGCATAGTTCAAAGATAATCAGACCAGGTATTGGGGATTTGTCCTACCCAGCATCAGAATAGACACCAAGCTTTAGTCCCTTTGAGTGCACATAATCAGCTAGAGCTTTAATTCCAGATGGAAAAGTTTTCGGGTCAGGAATCATTTGACGCTGCACAATAATTGGCGGATGATTAGCGTCTCACGCATCCATACATGATCTGAAACTAAAAGCAAGAGATCATAACCAAAAAACAACCACAGTTTAAAGGAGGACATCAGTTAAAATGTAAACGCACCTTTAAATCTCGAGTCAATCTGGACCAACAATCATCTACAATGGAGAAAGCATATCAAACTGTCAAGATGTAAACCTCAAAAACAAAAGCAAATTAGTTTATTCAAATGCTTACCGATGTTGACATAAATATAACCCAGGCTAGCCAAACCAGTCGATACGAGTGCATCAGCTGCCAAAGAGCACTTTCGTGTTATTGAATAAACATTTATACAATTCAATAAAGGTGCTCATACTCTCAAAGCAAACTATCGAAACAAGGTAAAGGGGGCTCGGGGCATTACCTGTTTCCTTGATGACTGTTTCATTTATATTGCAAGCAAAAAAATTCCAGGTACTCCACCTGTTCCAGAAATATCGTTAATCACATAACTATCACACTTCTAACTTTTAACATATTAAAATTGTGAACGAGCATAAAGTTTTGTTCTAAATTAGCAAGAGTGTTAAAAAAAAGGCATCTGCACATACAATCTCGAAACGCAATTCATGGACTTAGCCTTGCCGTTTTCTCCTTGTATAGTCAGAGGAGGAGGTTAAAAGCAAGGGTAACCAAATAACAACAGGAAGAAGCTACGTTGTTTCAACTAAACCTTAGTTATTCATTTCCTAAACTTTTTAACCATAAAAAAAAACCTAAAAACAACCACATGAACATAGATACAACTTATAAGCTCCGAGTGTTGCAGCATGTTAAGAGTATTATGTGAAGGTGCGAACAAGCTGGGATGAACACTACGGTTATCAAAAAAGAAAAATAACAAGTAGCAAATATCTTCAAATTGACCATATGATTTGCTTATTTTTCTAAAAGTTGAAAGCTTCAGACAAGAGAATTACTAATAAACTGAATCAGAGACAACACAAAGATTCAATTTTTATATGAGAAAAAAAAACAAAGCAAAAGCAGGGGATGAATGAAGAAAAGGGGAAGAGGAGTAGAAAATAACGGACCCCATCTGAGGAGTTCGAGCCAAGCCATTGTCAATTTGAAGAACACCATAATTGGAAGTATCATAGAGTTGAGAAATGGAGAGTCTTTCTTGAATTTTCAAGTAAGGATGAATTGGAAGCTCTCTTGCCGTGACTGTCACTGACATAAAAAACACAGTCAAAGAAACAACGGCAAGAAGCGTAGCCGCAGTGGCAAGAATGCCAGTGGACTTTGCCATTGTTCAATTTTGGAGAAGATGAATGAAGAGTTTGAAAGGGGGAAGAAATGGATTATAGCTAATTATCCGAAGCATCTTCCTTTTATCCAGTTTGACGATTAAAATTGGCAGCTAATATTGAATTATTGTTATATTTATTATTGGACCGTCCATTTCTGACTTAAAAAGGGATCGTATTTTATTGGGTGTTAGCCTTGTTCTTTTGGATTAGTGTTTTTGTTGCACACTTTTCGCTTCCAGGGAAAAAGGAAAATACTATGGGCAAGGATCCGATGAGTGCATCCTCAGTGTATTTATCTTTACCTTTAAAATTTGTTCTTATCGCCTTAGACTGACCTCCAATACATTCCCTCGAGCAGCCCCAAACAAAAATAATGCATTTTTGGACTCAAAAAATAAAAATATTTTTGGACTCAAAGAATAAAAATATATAAAAAAAAATACATAGTGACCAAAATATATATAGCGTCATTTTAAAAGACGCTATTTCTTAACGACCGTTTGGCCAGTTAAGTATAGCGTCTTTTAAAAAGACTTATATATATATTATTTTTTTAAAAGACGCTATATGTATTATCGTGGGCCCACAAATAATTCTTCTGTACTTAACTGACATAACAATAATTCAACTGGGTATAGCGTCTTAAGCTAAGACGCTATACCTCAAATAATTCACCCCCCGGAATGGTTTTTGCCTTGACGTTAAAGATTTTGTAAAACTCCATTCAGAATTACTCTAAGTGTTGTGAAATTTTTGTTTGTTTAGTTGTTTTACATTTTGTCATAATGTCTGAAGAGCGAAGAATTAGGGTTTTATTATATTGGGGAGTGAGGTTGTGGTGGTGAATAACTCAGTAAGCTATAGTTTATCTCCACAGTCTCATGTTAAGTTGCCACTTACAATGGAGTACGATACATTGGTATCATTGTTATGTAAAAAAATGAGTGTGAGCAAACGTTCGGTGAATCTTAAAATAACCGGAAGATATCTGTATTCTGTGACTCCACAAGGGATTGCGTGTTATGAAGAGTTTAACATCGAAGACGATGAAACTCTGAGAGATTTTTTGAGGACTCCGGATGAATACCGGGAATTTATTGTGATAAAAATGTTGGAAATATACGTCAGGCTGAAGATGTTCGCAATAATATGGTTGCGCAAAGTAGGGAAATCCCTCAATCATCGGGTGGTTATTTTGGAGCAGTTTTAGCCGAACAGGTTCCGGCTGAAAGAGTTTGGACGGATCTAAACTTATCTCCACGGGAGAATGAGGAGCGAGAAAATAATTTCTCCCCTAGTATACATAATCCACAAGCAGAGTGGTAAACTTTAATTCTCCTACTATGTTACAATGTATATTTTTGTGTATTGTATTTGTATTAACACTCATATATTCCACAGGGGGTACCGACCAGATATGAATTTTACAAGTTATGAACTAACGGTCAGTTGAAATATGCCGAGTTTTGGTATGTTGGATCATGGTGGTCCATCCGGGAGTCAGCATCAACAAGATAATGTGCATCATGGGATATCAACACATTATGATTTGTAAGTGAATATATAAAGTTATATGTATTGTTTGGACCAATTTGAGTAACTCATTATTTCTTTGGTTGTGCAGTGAAAACGGGCAACTTGATAGTCATGTCCTTACTCAATTGCCCGAAGACGGCGTATTTAATCGGGATCTGGTAGATGCGCAGAGTCAGGAAGAGAATAATGATTATGACAACAATGACGATGAGTCTGGAAATGATACACCCTTCCCTGGCGAGGGTGATGTTGAGGAGGAAGAGAATACCAAACTTAATTTGACGAGGGAGCATGCTCAACCTCCCGTTAGACCAAAAGTATACGAGTCCCACGTGTCGTTTCATTCGAGGCATATTTCCTACCTTGATCATTTGCCAAGTATGCCGGATGTGGATGTCCTCACAAGGGATAGTGACGAAATTCGGTCAGCAATGTGGGATGAATCTAGACCAACAGTGCTGTCAAAGGGCACGCTTTTTCCTGATAAGGCACGCCTAATCAGGGCGGTGAAACTGTACAACGTAAAAGAGTGCCGTGAGATGATGGTATATGAGTCATCTCCGGATGTATACAAGGCTGTTTGCCGTAGATGATTTACGGGTTGTAATTGGATGCTGCGTGCGATGAAGAAGAAAATAAATATGTGGGTTGTGGGTAAATACATTGGCACCCACAATTGTGAAATGGACACATTCAGCGAAAATCACTTTAACTTGGATGTTGACTTGATTTCTCTTGTCTTGACTCCACACATTGAAGCCTCCATAAGGTACAAGATCAAATAGTGTATTACATCTGTCCACCAGGAATATGGGTGTACCATTACCAAAAGAAAGGTATTTCTCGGGCGCAAATGTACGTTTGAAATTGTTTACGGTGATTGGGATAAGTCATTTACATCTCTACCCAGGTACATGGACGCATTACAACACTTTAACCCCGAGACTGTTGTTGAATGGAAGCTTGAGCAGAGTCCGAGAATACCAGAATATATATATTCAGATACGTGTTCTGGGCCTTCAAACCAGCAATTGATGGTTTTGTGCATTGTCGGCCGGTAATATCCATAGACGGCACTCATGTCTATGGAAAGTATGATATTAAGTTGTTGATCGTCGTTGCAGTAGATGCTAATAGACAAATATTTCCCCTAGCTTTTCCTATTTGTGCCAATGAAAGCCAAGAGATGTGAACACTATTTTTAAACCACTTGAAGGAGCACGTTGTTAAACAACGTTCAGGTATTTGTCTAATATCTTATCGGCATGGCGATATTTTAAGTTCTGTACAGCATTTTCCTGAATGGCAGGAACCGTATGCATACCACTGTTACTCTGTGAGGCACCTGAAGGCCAATTTCCAGAAGGCACATCCCAACAAGGACTTGCATGATTTAATGTGGATGACTGCAACTGATTATCATGAGTGTAAATTCAGGAGGCGCATAGAATCTATCAGGCAGGAAGACGAAAGAGCTTATCATTGGTTAATGTGACATGAGCTTGACAAGTGGACATTGCATGCGGATGGTGGCAGACAATGGGGAACCCTGACTACAAATGTGTCAGAGTCTTTCAATGGGTTATTGAAGTTTGCACATGGATTACCTGTCACTGCCATGGTGCGGATGTCATTCAAACAGATGGCAGAGAGGTTTATTGAAAGGCATAGAGGTGCATCAGAATTGATGGAGAGGGGTGTTGAATTTATCCCAATACCAATAAAAAGATTTGAGAAATACAAGGGGCGAGCACATTGGCATTCATTTTTACAGTATTCCAACGAGCGAAATATTTTTGAAGTTTGCATCGCTATCCATCAAAACCGGGAGAATAATACACACACCATAAATGAAGCCAGCAGGTTGTGTTCTTGTGGGAAATGGTCCATCTACCACATGCCGTGCTCACATGCCATGAAGTGCTTTCAACATACAGGTTTCGCGGCAACCAGGTACGTTGATAAGCAATATAGTGTTGCTGCATATTTAAACACCTATAGTGGGCAGTTGCAGCCAGTGGGTGCTGAGCATTATTGGCCGCCGGAACTATTTAAAATGGTGTGTAACAAGGAGTATTTGTGTAAGCTAAAAGTGCAAAAAAGAGTACGTATACGGAACCAAATGGATGTTGGTGATACCGTTTATGCGCGTAAATGTAGCATATGCTCGCAAACAGGACACGACCGTCGTAAATGTCCTTCAGCTGGTTTGGGTGTCGGTGGTAATCCTGCTCCCGGTGGAAGTTCATCTAATGTGCCCAACAATCAAGGATACACGTGGTGTTTTTATTCCGTTATGTGGTTGTAATAAGTGTATGTACTTGTTTATCTTGCAGAATGTATGTAATAAAATTATGTTTCCATTGTTGTTAAATCTTTTTGATATTTAACATTTATACTTCAATACAATAATATAACATAAACCCATTTTTTTTTAAAAAGCCTTCAAAACAATCTTTTTGATATTTAACATTAATACACGCAATGACATTTTTTTAATGGATGTTTTAATGTTTATTCAAAAGGTATTTCAAATAAATATGACTTGGTTCAGTTTAAGAAGCTTTCTTATTGTACCGTAAAGAATCAGGGGTCACCTGCGAAGTCCCTGAAGTAACCCCAAGGCTAAATGATGAAATATCAGTAGGAGCTGACTGTGGCTTAGGGTGGTCACCCGGCTGATCAACTCCAACATCCTCAATAAGTGCCTCAACGCCCCCTTGTTGGGGACCACCTCCTCGCCGACCCCCACGACCTCGTGGGACACCCCTGCCTCGTGGGACACCCCTGCCACATCGACCACGTGCAGGCTGGACTGCTGCCCACGATGGTACTACTCTGCCGCCATATAATCAGCCTCGTGTCCTAAGCGCTCATCATGCCGGGCTCGCTGCAATGTCCGGGCAGCCAAATCTGTAATCCGCCGGCCATAGTCGTGCAAAGCGGTAGCTCCCTCATCGATATGCTGCTGCATCTGCAGTCCTAACTGGTGGAAAAGATGTAGGCCAATAACCTACACAACATGTAAAATATTAATTGTGAAACGGTAATGTTAAAGTTATAACTAAGTATACCAAATAACATACCAGTGCCTCATGCCTCCCGGCGTATGGAACGAACCGACCGCTAGCTCGATGAATGGGATTCCTGACGAAAAGTCGGGTAATGCTGCGGTACCAACCTATATACGCATGCTCACCATCCATAAGATCGGGTGGAGGGGGTGGCAGAATCAGGTCATGCCGCTGGTCCCAAGTCTCGATCTGCAACTCTAGCCATGCTTCATATGCCTGGTCAACCCTCGAACGATCATCCCGCTGGTAATGTGTCATAAGCCAAGCGGGCGATGGAGGTACAAGCTGCGGTCGACCAAACTGGTGAAGGACTCGCTCGGTGGCATGATACTCGACAATATCGAGACACATAAACAGGACGAAAGAGCTCCAGATAAGTCGCCCGGTCGAGCAATAATCAGGCAAACTAGCTATTAGCTCGTCGCTGTATGGCCTCCACATATAAATCCATGCCAAGTAAACTTAAGTATAGAATTACCTGCGCGTCCTCCA